TCTGGGCTAGTTTTCTTCCATAATGATCTAAATTATTTAATAAATTATTAAATTGTTATAATTATTACGTTAGATAAGAGATGGTGCCTAATGTCTACTTCTAGTACCAAATTACTTAATTTCAGCATATTACTATCCTAATTAATTACGGTGATCCTTTGGCTTAGTATTATCGTACAATAAAGTACATTTTATATGCTTCTTACTGTATAAGATCTAGGACCTAGTTTGTATTGGATACTGTTAGAGTAAGTAATCTGTGTAAAATTTAAAAGCCACAAGACATCTTGTCTGTAGGAAGATTCAAAGACAAAGGTTAAACTATATAAAGCATTTTATGATCTTTTCCAATAGAATGCATGGCATTTATATTAAAGGGGTTAACTGTTTTGGAAGGGCAATAGAATACTGCACATCTGGAGAGCAATTTACATAAAAAATTGATCATACTAATATATATCAAAGGTGGCAATATATAGTTTATAACCAGAATCTCTACAGATTTTGAATACTGGACCAAGTGTTGATGAGCAATATATCTTTATATGCATAAGGTCCTAGAAAAAGTCTAAGATCCATGTCTAAAGTGACCATTGATTGGTGGCATTTGAAAATAAAGCTATGGTCTTTGAAAACATTAATGTGTAAATTATACAGACTCTTAGAACTTATAAGTTATGCACTTTGATGCCTTAACCAATAATGATAAAAAGTATATCTAATGGTGCAATGCAGCTCTAAATGAGGTGGTTGGGACATTATCAGAGTTGTAGGCCATGCCCATACAAGTAAAAAAAGTGAAAGAAATGAACCAATGGTCTATGTATGACCAGTCATAAGATACCGTATTATGTTAGAGTTGACAAAGGAATCCAACCAAGTTTCTCATATAAAACAAGTTTAATTCACAATTCCCATTACAACTGTAAATAATCTCAACAAATATTTAATGCAAAAACCTGTGATGCCTTAACCTGTATTAAAACTAAAGGAGAGTGGAATAAGAGGAAAAGAGGAGAATGACAAGAGTTATTTGGCAGAGGTACCTCAAAGCCCAAAGTTGTAGGTGGCAATGTTGTGTTCTTTGGTACCATAAAACAAGTATATATATATACACTTGTTTTATGATATGGTACCAAAGAACAGCAAAAAGAATTATCTGATATCATATACATATATATATATATATATATAATATGATATCAGATAATCCTTTTTGCTGGCAAAGCTTTGTAGAATCTTTGGAGTCGATACAACCTGGCAATCTTTCTATCCTTTTGTTCGTTGAAAGTAATCTTCTCAATCATCCTTCTATACAGACAAACATGTGTCAGTTTTCTTCCATCTACCAAACACCAAACAACAAACTCCCATTGGGACTTATTGTTCCTCTAGGCAATAAACCGGTTAGCAGGACAGAAAGTTCTAGAAATATATACAAATAATAACTATAACTAAATATATTTACATATAATACATAACAGGTGACTGTCACAATACAGCCTCCCAAAACTGGTCAATAAATAAGTGGCAGGCTTAACAAAGCATGCAACACAACTCTGATTGTATCCCAGAAAGCTAACGGTAGTAAAGCAGAAAACAGTTGATGTTTAGCATTGCTATGAGAAAACATTCCGGATTTTTCACTTTTAAATTTTGTCATTTTTCAGTCTTCAAAATTCTTCATAGTCTTTTGGGGATACATCTCACAAAGAGTCACATGTAAGACTGCCAATTCCTTTGACTTTTTTATTCCTATGAACATGATCTACAATCCTTTTATTCAAATAAGGTCTCAACTGCTTCATTCAGAGCTACATTTGTACGCATCTAACCAGGATTTGCTTTAATTTAATAATCATTTCAACTAAATTTTGTTTCATTATACTCTTGAAGGTTAAAAATAGTGTTAAAAATCCTGAAATATTTCATTTCTAAAATAAATTAAAGAACTTAAAAATAAAATAGAATAATTCAAGCTAACAATATTCATTGTTAGCTTATTTAAATTTACTGATATTACTGTGATTTTTAGATAAGATTAATTTGAATGAGCTTTATAGTTATCACTATCTGTTATCTATAATTTCCAAGTTAAAAATAAGGAGATAAGTATTTGATAAAAACAACCTTGACAATGTCAAATATATAAACCATGGAACTTTATATTATTGTTATATTATATAAATATATAAAGAATATTCTTCTTTATATATTTATATATACACTAGTGGATATGACCAATGTCTGGGCAAGAAGAAAGAACAAACATTAAAATGGAAATCGTATTAAGAGTTTGATTATTTTTAGCCTCCATGTTTATCATAACAGTCAGATAGTAATTAACAGTGAAGTTTCATTGGTTGGATAGACAGGAATTGATGTTTAAACAGAAAACGGTTGTTGACTTCCACCAGCATGAAAAAATAATTTGAGACTGCAAATTTTTTCTAATGTTAACACTAATGTACCATTCATGGCCAAATATGAAATGGTAAAAATAGACCAAATATTTAAACTCAGCACCCTCAAAAACCCCTAAAAACATATTTTGTGCTTGCTGTAATTTTGTATTTAGTAATTTTCCTACTTGAATGCTTCATCCTACCTGTCAGGTAGAAAGAGAAGCCTGTTGTGGATGGGAGTTGAAGTTAATTTGACCAGAAGTAGTCACTGATCTCTTCCTAGATGAGAGGATCATCCCTATAAAATTTCATTGCATTTGGTTAGGTTAAGTTAGAATCTCATTAGAAGGCAGGATAAGAGTTTTAAGTAAGAGTAAACCATTAGTTTCAAACTTTGGGTGTTTCCTATTTTAAAGAACATGTTACGGTTATTCAAATGTTAAGAAAATTATACTTTCTTAGAGCAAATTCTGCAAATTCATTAAATATTTGAAATTTAAATACCTTCAAGTCTTGCCAACTCATCTCCGAGGACATAAATGACATGTTCTTTTTTTTTTTTTTTTGCAATAATGTCCTGAAAGATTCAACAGGTTTCAACAGGTTCAAAAATACTTTATTTATTTTCGGTGTTTAAAATTCGTTTACTCTAATAAGACATAATTTTCTCACAATTTGAATCTTGAGTGAAATTTTGAAGATTTCTGATGTTAATGCTACTGTAAACAATATAAAAGTAAACCAATTTTTTGAATTGCTCAACTTTCCCAGTAACATTTAAAATTTGTGGTGCAATTTGTTAACATATTTTATTGAAAAAACTTGTTATATTTTTAACTATTATAAAATGGCAAAAAGCTTAATTTTGAGGGTACGGATGAGTTTTATAAAAATTTGTAAATGCTAATAATAAGTAAAATTGTCATTCAGTCCAACCCCACTGCAGATACACACAATCCCCATTATCTCCAGACTCCCTTGACCTTTAAACACCAAAATTGAATAGCATCAATCTCCCTAATAAAAAAAACTTTTCTGCAAAATTTCAGAAATTTTTGACAGTAAACTTCAAACAGGGTGAATAAAGTGCCAAGTACACAGATACACACAATCATATGTACAAAAAACCCTCCAAGTTTATTGTACTCAACATTTAAAGTTGTCCTAAATCCAAAAATGTAAAAATCTGAGGGGTCATTTCTTGCCTGATTGCCATACTTTCCCTCTATACAACAGCCAGGAAAATAAAAATTATAAAGTTGAAAAATATTAAGAAAAATTTGAAATGAAACTGTAATAATAATAAAATAGCAATGAAAAAGTGTTTAAAATGTATTTAGAAAGTTAATGAAAAGAGAAATTTCTAGTAATTAATTAAATCCTAAAAAATAATCAATATTGAAATGCTTCTTCATTTCATTAATCTAGCAATATGAATGAAGTTTTAATTATCTTTACTTAATTATGATTAATGCATAGAAAAGCAATTTTGCCTGCTGTAAGACAATAAAAAGACTTTGTTAATACAACGAGAAANTATCTGTTAAAAGAATTTACAACAATAAATTTATTACTTTCATTTTTGTGTCTAGGAAGACGGATGTCATATAGATTCAAAGATTAGATAAGTAATGCCTTTATACTTTTTGGGTCGCTGCCAAACCCACAAGGGAAATGACAAGAAATCACACATTTCTACATGTACCCACATTAATTTCATTTTTATTACTTTTTTAACTTTTACAATATTTTTAAATTCTCCATTCTTCTAATGCATTTTAAAAACTTCTTACCAGTTTTCTGTATTGAGGTGAATAGGCCATAATTAAAAATACATATTGGTGGTAAAAAAGAGATCGAGATACCTGAAATTCAGGAGTGACAAGATTTATAAATGTTACGGATCAGATCAGTGCATTATCAATCAGACAGGAATTATTTTTACTTGTAAAATTTTAAAAGCAGAGAACCTTTCTCAGAATGGAATTTCCTTGTCTAAAAATTGTTTTTACTACATTTAATTAACTTATTACACATAATACACTTGTATGTAATTATCCAACTTTTGTATTTAGGTCAAGAAAATGATAATAGTTTTCAAATGCTTGTCTGTCTTTGTAAATTTTAATGTTAAAAACAGGAAAAACACTGTTTTAAACAATTTTTCCAAGTGTTTTCTCTATTTGTGTGCGATGCTAACCCAACTTAATGTCTTACTTAAGTAAAAAAAAGTAGCTTAACCCAGACTAAAGTATAATTTTACAATTATTTTAAATGCTTAATGTCTTTAGTAGCAACTACTGATATTCTCAACCATTCTTTTCCTTCAATTTTCTACTTGCTTAAAACAGATCTGAAATACGACTTTAAAGAGTGAGTTAAATTGGATAAATGCCTCGTTGTAGACTGTCAAAGAAGCAAATTAAACAGTTACAAGACCTTATCTTTCAACTCGTAATTTGAGTCGTGCGGCAGTTCTACGTAACTGGGATACTTTGTAACCTAAGAGGTAAATTACACAGTGCTGTTGAAGAGGAGAAGTCGTAACTGCAAAATGAGGTCGACAAATTATGCTTCCCGCACTTAGGGCATGACAAATTGAAGAACGTTCAATATGGATGGCTGTTATGTTGAAACGGTCAATGACATAAATTTATTCTGTCTGTATTACACATCACTTGTCACTTTTGTTTACTTCTGTTGACAAGAATAATTATGTGCATTAAAAGAGACCTTGGCTGATGATTTTAATGATATGCTGTAAATAGTATTTGAGTTATTATTTTGCTTTATCAAGCATACTTGTGTACTATATATTATACAAATTTATTTACACTAAAATTTAATTCTATCAATTTATATAATTATTATTAAATTATTTTTATAATCAGCAAGCAAATTTTATTATTACACAAGAACAAACTCTGACATTATATTTAAATGATTATTCAAGTGGATCCAACTAGTGTTTCACATCAAACCAAACAATTATATTAGCAATGGAGAAAAAAAAATGTTTAATATATATATATAATGTGTACATTATATGACATATGCAATTCTTTATATCACATATGCGATAACAGTAAAGGTCTTAAATGTAGGAAATCTACACCTTTGTCCAGGATCTTTCAGTTTTATGAGCTTCAGTATGTTCATCAATGCTCGGTCTTGCTGGAATTGATATTTAACTGAAATCATAAACCTTGTATGATATCAACTATTGTGTAAGTCAAGCTTTATATTAAATAAACTTATATGAAAAATGTCTTGTCACACTAACCTAGAAATTTGTAGTCTAAAACTGCCATTAAATAATATTTGCCTTTACAAATGTTACGTTATTTTAAATTGGTGTACTGTTTATAACAGTGATAATACCCCTTTCATTGAAAACAAAATGATTATCGCTGGCTGTAGAGAACTTTTTCTGAATGGCATTTAGTACAGTGGAACTCTCATACAATGAAGTCAGATATAATATAACCTTGGTTTTATTGAACTGAAGAATCTATTCTTGGCAAATCTGCTATGTCTTTAAACATAGTTATAATGGAAACTTGGTTACATTGAATCAAATTATTCTGAATCTCTATTTGAGAGACCTCGATTACAGTGAACTGCCTCCAGTGAACTCCAAAACACCCAGTAAACCATGTGCTGCTTCTTTTCCTATAAAACATTTGTTGTTTACTAGAAAGTGCAGTACAGTATTAGTTACTGACATTAACATAGCCAATGCATAGCAATTAACAAAGCCTCAATAACATAAAATTCATCACCCTTTTGTATTAAGTCTCGTTTGCAGTTTTGACAATAATCTTGCTACAGAAGGATTCCTTACAGATGAGGAAATTTTGCAATCTCTGATTGCCCTGGAAGAAAAAAAAATGGAGGAAGATGAAGAAGAGGAAGAAAAAGGAAGTGATGAGTGTGTAGCAATTGTTCCTATTCCAAGTAATGAAGAGGCCAAGAAGACACTGGAAATAAAAATATGGGAACTTAACAAACTTCAAGAAGAATCAGATGCAGATATATTCTCAAACAACATTTCTCAATTGGAGAACATGCTAAATGAAAACCTCATTAAGAATTACAAACAAAAGTCGATTAGAAATTTTTTGAAAGTTGTACAACATTAGATACTCTTAAAAGACAATAAAAGTGCTTCATAAATGCAGTTCTACTGAATATTGAGTAAATTATTGCATCTTTTAATGCATATTAATAATTATCAATTGGTTTAGTTAAGAAGTCTAAAATTAAGAAGAGTCAAACCAAATTACTAACACATTTGGAAACTTAATGAAAAAAAAACTCCTAGAGTAGTGAGTCATTAATACATAAATACATAACTTATTAAGTATGATCAAGAAGTGGTGAATCAGCTTAGAAAATACAATTGCTAAAATTTGATTAACATTATTATTCAGCTTACTAATTAACAACTCTTCCTCTTTCTTACTTGTTCATTTATTTTGGAGACATTTTGACAAAGAGAATTTGTGTCACTTATGCATCCTTACATCTCTAGTAGTGTTAGTTTACTACAGAATGTCTAAGGTACAATAAAGTTTAAATAGGATTAATATAAATACTTTTTTCTTTCTAAATCTTTCTGTCCTGTTGACAGTAAGAGAACTTCTTTTTAGCAAGCCCCTTATGGGTTCAGCCAGGCCCATAATGGGGTGACAGAACAGTGAAAGATGGAGCCCGATGGACCAATCTTCAAAAAATTTCTGGTGTTTATCGACCGTCTGGATTCAATCCTGGTCCTATAGAGTAGTAGGATGCCACCTTAGCTGTTTGACTATCTGGCTGTAACATAGTGCTGTTTATTAGGATGTCAGATGTTCCAGTTAAAGGTTTATTAAAGCATTGGTTGCAGCCAAGACTGATGCATACTGGAACATACTCATTATTACAGAATTTAGTAGTGTTAGTTTACTGCAGACCTTGAGGCAGGGCTGTGGACTCAGAGTCAGGAGGAATTTCTGGCCAGAGGAGTCAGGAAAAATGTGTCAAGTTCGACTCTATATTTATTAATTTTTTAAAATGTTTTGTATTTTGTTATAATCAGGGCTGTGGAGTCAAAGTTTTGGTGTTTTAGCCAGAGTCAGAGTCGTCAAAAATCCACCGACTCTAACTCCTTTTTACTTACCAACTTGTTATGTATATAAAACGGAAAAGTATTGGAATCGTGTCAAATTTGACCCTCCAAGGTTTTTTTGCAAATCTACACATTTGGAGACCTCCCAAACCCCTCAAAAAAGTCAATAAAGGAGAAAAATTCACGCATGCATGTGTGTTGGCATCTAATTTGTTTAATTTCTTTATTTTTTGTTCTGACATATTTAAACAATATCTCAGAATAGGTAAAGTTTGAGAAATGAAATGTGGCATTGTAGCTTGCGTATAAAGGTGCATTAATACTATTAAATTTTGGTTCTTAAAGGTCAACAGGGTGGAAACATAAAAGTGGTCATGTGTCATATCTCTTAATGAATATTTTACTCGTTATTAGCGTTCAAAATTTAAAAAAAATAAAATAAAACTCATCTCTACCCTCAAAGTAAGCTTTTTTGCCATTTTATAATAGTACAGTAGAACCCGTTAAGATTTTCTCACCTAAGATGTTAGAATGTATATGGGGACATGATTTAGTTCAACCACTTTGACACTTAATAACTAACTCCTGTGTTAAACCATCCGACTACGATTGTGACCACTCTGACCACAGAAATTATTAGGCTTAAAACAGGGTGAACAAAATCATGCCCCCCACAAACAGTCTAACATCCACACATATAGGAAAAAACCTCGAATCTTTTGCATATCTCGAAATTTCAAGGTGTCCCCAGTCCAAAAATGTAAAAATTTGGGAGGGGTCATTTTTCGACTGAGCGCTACACTTTCTCCTCTGTTATATATAACAGCCATAAAAGTAAGAATTATTGAATACATATTTATATATTACTTAGAGAAGTCTTTTAGCTTTGGAATAAAAAGTTTCTACGCTGTATCTTTATTAGAACTCTATTTATTGAATCTTTTATTCTGAGGTCACATGATGACATCAGAATTTCCAGGTCTCTTTCGGTAACAAGTCTGCCCCTGGTCGGAGTCGGATGGTAAGGAAAAGTCGGAGTCAGAGTTGGTAGATTTTTACATGACTCCACAGCCCTAGTTATAATTCATTTATTTTAAATACAAAATGCAACAATTTAATTTATTAAATATGTATCAATAGATTTCTTTGTAGTATTTGTGTTCAGTAGTTAAATTATTTTGACCCAATTGAATTTGAATATTTTTGATTCATTCCTTTATTATCCTAAAGGAATAAAGAATCAAAAATAAAAGGAATAAAGAATCAAAAATATTAAAATCCACTCTAAATAAGTACTCTATTTTTCTGAATGAGCCAGACTAATTAATCAGAGTATATATTTTTCTTTTCTGAACAAGGGGCTGAAGTAGCTAGATCACAGACTTTTTAGTTGTACTAACTTTTCTGGAAAGCTGAAATTGAAGTGCAAAAGCTGTAGAATAAAGATATGTAGATGTAGAATTTTATTGCTCCCCTTTTTCCTCTTATTAAATATTTGTTAAAAATAAATTGTTTTTATACAAATAAATATTAATGTAAGTTAAATATTAAAAATACTAACTATAAAAGTATTTTGGTAAATGCCCAGAGCTCCTATCAGAGTTCAGAGTAGGGTAACCCCCTATGAGTGCCTCTGCCCCCCAAAAATGATTTGGTATTTAATTTTTCCAGAGTCGGGAGTCGGAGTCAACGTATTAAAATTATCAGGAGTCAGAGTCAAGTGTTTTTTTACCAACCCCGCAGCCCTGGTATATAAAATGCACATAGAACTACTTAAATTATGGCAAGATAAACTTAGTTTTCTATAATTTATTAATTCTGTCTGAACTAAAAACTAAAAAAAAATTCATAATTTTACTGGTATTGTTTTTATTGTGATAGATTTCAAGGACATTTTAACAATTCTAATGTTATGACTTCTTAGCCTTTCAAATTTCTAAATTATGCACTAACAATTTATCATGTTTCTCAATAGAAACTGGATTATTAACAAAAGATGAAAGATACAAAACACATGAAGGTTATTGGAAATTTCTTGTTCCAGTTGTTAAATTTTACTCAAAGATTAAAACACTACAGAGGTTGATGTTAAACTATAGATCAAACGATGTGTTAACAAATAAATGAGATAAAACTGTGATTATGTTAAAATTTGCTTATACTTTCTAAAAATGAGATTTAGTATGTTATGGATGCAATGTACAGGGTGCATAGTCCTTATTCTCCCACATAATGACAAACACAGATAGCTACAGTTACGAACATGACATATAGTTACAGTGCCTTACAAAAAGAGAATGCTTGTGATGCCCCTAGCAGTAAAATTCAAAAGTTAGCACGTCTTGAACACAATGCATGATATGGAAAAAGTAATTATAAAGTTGTAGAACTGACAAATTTACTACATAGTGACACACTATGTATATAAATAGTGTAAATGATGTAAAAAGAACCATCTGCACATTGAGCACAGATAGTAAAATGTGTATTTCTTGTATTCATTTGTGTGTTCTCATTTCTTTCTTCTGTGTTTATTTACAAAATGTTTGTTATTTTGTGTTGTATGTTATGCATTGCTCACACATATCAGGACTTTACTATGCACCCTATATATCCGTAATGCCCAGTTTCAATTACGTTCAGTGCAAGTGAACTTGAAATTGATAGACCTGCATGAACAAAGATGTAAATTAAAACTGTAGCTCAAGGATGCATCCTTCAGTATCTAAGAATTATATTTTTAATGTACAAAACATGTAAGAGTTAACTCTAAAAAAAGAATGAATAGATTTAAGAAAAACATTTGAGACTAGACCAATTTTACTATGTATATACAATTAAATTAGAATAAAAATTACATACCTGATGTGGTATTTGATCGTTGAAATTGTTTCAGACTTCGTTCGGGCAATGGCGGAGGGTCATAAGTACACACATTTGTTACCGTGAAAGGTCTTATTGTGAGTGGTCGTAGAGGTTTGAGAGGAGCTGGTCCCAGTTTTTCCTTAGGAGGAAGTTCTTTTCTTCTAAACTTTTTATTACTATAGCATATATAATTATTTAGTATGAGGGATGAGTCATCAAATTTGAATGTAGAGAGAGATAATGCTTGTATGATTGCATTATCACTTAATGTAAAACTATCTTTGCTTAATGAATTGGAGTTCTTTTCTAATTTGTTCAATGCTAATTTTGAATTTGTAAGTGACTCCTGACTAGCATTTTTTTCCAATGCTTGTGTTACTTCATTTGCCAATTCACTAATGTGTTGCTTCAGTTCTTTAATTTGTTCGGTACCCTCTGGAGTCAATTTTTCTTCCATCCCGAAGTTGACAGGATCATTCTTTGGCAATTTGATCATAGTTGATGAAGCTGATTTTACTGGTTTTTGAGCTATATTTGGCTTTGGTTTTATGAGTGGTTTCATGGTATTTTGAGCGCTATGAATTGGTGAACCATTTGGAGAAATTCTTTCCACAGATCTTGACAGAGCATTAACAATGCTTAACTCTGGTAAAGATCCCTTGCGCTCAGAAACGATACCAGACCGAGTGATTTTGTTGAGAATTTCGGTATTATTTGCAACTGAAGAGACAGTGTCGTTGCCATTTTTATCACAGATGATAGTATTTGATGAGAGTTTGTTCACTGTTTTATTGCCATTTATCTTAGCACCTGGTTGCAGCATTCCCATTAATGGCTGATCTTTCTGTCTAAAAATGGCAAGAAGAGCTTGCACATTAGCTTGCGATGAAGAATCAACCATTGTTTCACTTTCGTTTTCCTTTTCTTGCTGTACAAAATAAAACAAAATTAATTGAATAATAAGCAATAGTTGAAACTATTAATATACTTTCATTAGATTTAAAAGAATTTAAATTAATTATCCCACTTTAACTAATAACACAAACAATTTCAAATAATAGTTAGATAAACATTAATATAACAATAATAATTTAATTAGTAAAATAGTTCACCAAGTGTTTAATAATTCATATAATTAAAAACATGGAAGTATTAATAATTTTTGAGCAGTTACTGAATATTTCTGTAAATAAGCCCCAAGCTTAATTATGGAAAATACAAATTACCTGTCAGTGCATTTAGAGCATTGGGCCTTTCTCACTGCCTAATTGTGAGGCCCTTCTGTAAAAAAAATAATAGATGGGGACCATAATAACTTTTTTTAAACTAATAAAAACAAAGCTGATTTCATTGAAGCCAGCTTCCTTTTTAATATATAACAAAAGTTTCTTAAATTAAAAAAAAAAAAAAATTCAGTGTTTTTGAAGGTCCTGAGTTGTGAGACCTTCTCATTTTCAAAGTGCATGAACCAATCATTCTGCCATTGCTATTTGTTGTTATCAGAGCTGTCTAGAGATTATATGGGGCCCAAGATTAGAGTGGATCCCTTTCATCATTTCTTTCAACAAATGAAATGTGCAGAATGCTTGTTTATTAACAAGCAGTCCTAAATATTTTATTTTCTGTTACTGAAAGTTATGTTAATATTATTTTTTCCAAGCTTGAGGAAAAATCCCCAGCATCTTTTGCCAGCCTAGTTGTTACCATAACAATAAGCATATGTGTCATCTGGAAAGAGAGTTCACAATCCTTATGCTTCACTTCAGCAAATGTAGCACTGAAAGATTTCTATCAAACTAGGAATTTTCTTAAATCTAATTACTAGAATCTGATAGATGAAGAAGCTCACTAACAGCATAAGTTTGGTCATTTTGTCTTTTAAGGTTGTTCAATACATTTCTTGATGATTGAGAGAAATCTGAAAACATTCATTTACTATTTAATTGAAGACTTCTTTAGCCAATAAGTTATTTCAACTTTACCTAAAAACTTGGTACTTTAATGAAAGTTTATTGAAAATTGCTTATTTGCCTAAAAGTTGCCCATTTATTCAATTGATTTTAAATCAAATTTTCTAGCTAATTTTCTATTTCACTTATCTTCAAATCAATAATACAGAACAAATATCTAAATTAACCATTCTGTCTTCAGTTACATTTGATATTATATATTTTTATATACAACTAGCTTACCCATCGCGCATTGCTGCAATCTCAGAAGAAACGAAATTCAAGCAAACTCGTTATGATAAAATTCGATTTACATTTTATCATTTTTATTGAAACTTATTATTATTCATTTTCATTGGGAAAACATTTCAAAGTGTCGTTTCAATTCTATTTATTTATTGGAGTGCTTGTAGATACACGATATTTTTTGTTTTTCCTAATTTGGAAAAGGGGGATCCCTAGATCGGTAAAATAGGCGAATTTCCTCCTACAACTTCGGTTGCTGTTCGGGATACAGTTAAGCTTTTAACAAAGTTTGAGCGAATACATAATTAGCAAAAAAAAAGTTGAAATAAAGTGATTAAACAAAAATTATTACAAATATCGTAAATATAAGTTTACAAATGCATATATAGAGATATTTTTTGAACAGGGGAAATGGTCTTCACAATTTGAAATTGATCGAACACACAGTGAAATGCTCGTATACACTCACGCCATCTATCATAGGATAAATGTACTGTGCCAGAAACCTTCACGGGAGTGTATTAAAAAATTTCCCAAAGCTTCACGGCAATTGGATAAACAGTGTGGTAATGCATGAAGGACGAACAGACAGACACACAGACATACATTCATTTTTATATATATATAGATAAGATAAATATGCATATTAGTTTTGTTTATATTTTGTAGATTTATGTACCATATTTTCATACATGTAAACCCACTACAGCAAAACTAAAATCTTTGCATAACCTGCACCACCATGTACAGTACTTACATCTATGGAAGCAGATATAGATGTACATTCGTAATTGAAATTTAAAGTTGATACTTCTCTTCACATAACCCACTTGCTTTCAAACTGTCTTTTAAACACAGATAACATGCAATTATATGCACAAAAATACAATAGATAGATCAACAGATTTAAAATTTACATTATTTACCACTATTCATGACTTATTTGTACCAATTTTTAAATAATATAAAAAAAGAATTCTCCTAGAGATAAAGAAATCAGGTACAATGACTTATATAAACACATAAAAATGAATGTATATTAACTGTTTCAATTTAAACTGATTTTTTCCAATGATTCCATCAATAATTCAAGCATTGAAACTGATCAAAACATTTGAACAAATAGATAATTTATTAAAATTCAATGAGGAAAAATAAAAATCCATGAAGCATTTTATAACTTAAGCTAGGTTTATACTGTTATATGAACCACTAAAATCAAACACTAAGAGAAATGCTGTTTGCATTGTACTATGCAACAATAACTGAATTAAGAGAAATAAGAGAATGTGATTGGTTGAAAGATTTCATTTACAATTGTCAGTTTTAAGGAAAAAGTTAATTGGTCGAATGAACTGAAGTTCAGTAAAAGTTTCAACTTCTAACAAATCAAATGAACTGGTCAAACAATTGCCTAAAGAACAGGAACTAATAGTTATTGCACTGTCTCGTGCGGTTAAAAGCCACTTGTCTCTCTAAGAAGATCGAGCAACTCCAGTAATCGCTTGTCTATTTAGTAGGCTAGAGTATCATTTGTTATCAGAATTAACCAGACAAATCGCTCCACCAACTAGTATACAAAGGGCAGGAACATAATAGTTTGTATGTCAATGTAAACTTAACTTTATTCCTCAAAACATTGATTAAACAAGATAATAGGAAGTACATGAAGCATCAGAAATCTGAACTAATTCGGACCAGACCCAGTTCAATTTTCAATCTATGCAATTTTCAAATACACATGTAAATTAGCATTTTAAGTGCTGCAAAATCCAAATACACGGTAAATCAAATTTAGATGTTCAAACCAGTATTTCACAAAGAATGTAGAAACACTACCATTGAAAGGGTTACTTTCCTTTTTTCGAAATTTCTTTCTGAATCCAAATTGGACACTTCACTGTGTTAAAATTTTACATAAATGATAGTTGATAAACTTAAAAATTTTATATCTAAAACATAACTCAATTTTCATTGGAGCAATTCAGAATCTTTAATTTATTTAAATATATTCTTTAATGGCTTTTTACTTGAAAACTTATTTATTTTCTATATAAATGTTAAAGGTCTGCATTCTTCAGTTAATTATCTTAATTTAATTGCTATTATTTATAGAACAAGAAATCTGTCTGTAAAGATATGGCGAGTCAACTACCTTGCAACATCCTTATAAGGTCGTAGTCCCACTTTTGCATAATGCCTTGCACAAAACATTAGTTTTGTCTAAAATAATCAATCATATGTTTAAATACTAAAATATGTTGAAAACTGATTAGTCAGCTGAGGAAATGCTAATGTTTTACACATACATTATGTAGAAATGAGGATACAGACTATGAATTTCCACTTTCATGGAATTGTTACTATAGAGATTTTACACAGAACAAGAGATCTGGTCTCTATGAATGTCTTCTGTTTCACAAACTCTCAACTGAAATATTTATTATTGTAGGTAACTTTCATGTCTAAGAATTTGAAAACAACAATATGTAAAAATATTTAATTTAAAATAAAAAAATACTAGACACTGAGCAAAAATTTTTCCACCTCGTAGCCAACAAGAGAACCTTTTTGCCTGTTCATTGTAGATTTGGCTCACAATTGAAAAGGTAAGCAATCAAAATGTTTCAGGAGAAACAAATGTAGTAACAATCTGAAAAATCCCTTTTTGAACATCAGCAAATCTGTTGTAGAGCTTCATCACAATTGAGAGATGGCTTAAAAGCTCAGATGGTATTTATAGTGTTGATCCAATTCCAATAAAACAATTAATAATTACAATTATAATACTACAAAGTTCAAAAAATTACCTTTATGCTAAAATATTTTATAACTCAGATCAAATTATTAATAAATCCAACTTTGAAGAATGGAACGACATCATTAGCATGAGAGATTTTAAAAAATAATACTTTATCTAGTGATATTTTCATATAAAACAAAGAATGATAGGTTTTTCTCCCCAAGATAAGATAATGGTTAATTATGCAATTGAATAAATTAGTAAGCAAATAAAATAACTTTTTTGTCTATTCAATTCAATGAATTCACTGTGAAACTCTAAACAAGTTATGCCAGGAATTGCAGCATTCCTCACATTCATTTAAAAATAATTGGAAAGAATGTGGAACAGTGCATTATGCATATAGAACAACTGATACTTTGTTAAATGCCATATAATACAAACAATACAAAATCAAGTTGTTCTCACAATCATAAAAAATGTATTATTACGAGAGTTACTTACAGCTGATAACTTAGAATTGATAAAGTTTATAAACTTTAAAGTTAATATTTAATATCAATGAAGAAATTTTACTCAATTTTTATATATATTTATAGTATCATCCTCATTGTAGATAAGATAAGAAAATAAATATTATCCAAATGTTATATCTTTATCAGCATATTTAGCACAAAATATTTTTTATTATTATTTAACAATTTGTAAACTTAAAATATGGAGCAACGTAATTAAATCAGAATCTGATAGCTTGGCATGGATCCAGGAGTAGATTCCAAGATGTCATTTGGGACTCGTTGTGACATGATTGAGAGTTGTCTAGCACACAGAATGATACTTTTAACACGTTTTTAGACATGTTACATGATAATATCCCTTCCATTATTTATTTTTTGTAATTTCTTACATGTTTACACTTTATGAAAGTTTGTATATTACTTATACACACTAGAAAATTAAGATGCATTAAGTTGATAAATTGAGAAGTTTTAAGTACCTAAAATTAGGCCGATAGCTTACTCTAAAGTCAGATAATATCAGTTTTTATTTGATCTTATTTTAAACTATTAGTCATTGTTCTAATGTATTGTTCTTAAATCAAGAATTCTAACTGCACCCTAGATACTCTCATATCCTTGTAAAAAGATAGTACAAGTTCTTTCTGACCAGTGGATATTAAGATGGTGTCTCTGTCATCACATATTTGGCAAGATCAAAATAAAGTCGAGTGAAAAGAGACGAAACTCGATGTATCCTGGTCAAACCACTCATTAAAGTTTCTCGAGGATACAATCTTAACTTGAATCCACCTTTAGAATATCAGATTAATCTTTACTACATTAGCCATTTGGCCATGTTGTATGCATATATTTTCTGATACAGTAGAACCTCGAAAACTCGGCCTAATGTGGACCGAAGGATGGCCGAGTTTGTGAAAATGCCGGGTTATCGGGAATTGGGTTAAAAAAGGATAAGTGTTTCCTCAGAAAATACTGTACTGTACTTGTATGTATTGTTTACTTGAGAATACAACAGAGAATAAACTGCCCAAATACCCTTAAACAAAGGAAAAGTACGTCCTTTATGAAGGTATAGAGCCTTTACTACATGAAAATTAAAATTAATGAATACACTATGTACAGTAATTTACCTGATAAGACAGACCTCAGAAAAATACTTTATGAGAGCTTTTATACTTTTATAAAGCTGTCTATAATGAAAATTAATTAACTAAGGATGTTTTTGCCCTGCCAGGGTGTGGCCGAGTTATCCGGAGTGCCGGGTTATCGAGAGCCGAGTTTTCGAGGTTCTACTGTACAATTTATGACTCCTAACAATAGAACTGGTAAAAGTAATTTTAAATATTGTTAAAAATGATAATCATTCAATCAAAAATTTAGTAGTTAATCAGTGTTTTCAAATGTTAAATGTTTTAATTAACAAAAACACTCAAATTTTCTCATCCTAAAATGTTTTGTAAACATTGCATTGCTTTATATATAAAGCAATTTTATAAAAAACAGATAAAAAATATATATATAATTTTTATCTGTTTTATCTGTTTATATATATTTATCTTATCATTTATCAATTTTATATTCAAAATAGAGCATTGTAATTAGAATATGATAGCTATATAATGCATTTAACAATTCTGATCCCAATAAAGTACTGTATTATTTTTGTGATTTACTATGGAATGCTAAACAAGTTAAGCCAAGTTATAGAATTAACTCTTAACTTAAGTTTTTCTTTCTTGCATACAAGCATCAGCACCTAACATATCTAAATTTTACTCATTTTTTAAAATTCTGAACTCATTTGCATAAAATTGAACATATACATTTACTTCTTAGTTCTATAAACGTTTCTTATTAAGAAAATAAATTAAAATGTAAAAATATTTAATAATTCAAAGATCAAAACATTTATTGCATAAGAGAATTAGATTTAGCACATATTTTTAGTAAGATTTATTCAGAAATCACTATTTACTTGTAGATATTCTGTAACGTCAAATGATAATTCAAAATCTTTTTATATACATATTAATATAAAAAAGGAACTTTTATATCACATCTACTATGATTATATGCAATGATAAGACCCAGTCTTTCATCAGAAGACATTTTTTTTTTACTCTCTTATCAACATACTTAATCCTCGACATAAAATCTATTAGCGTAACTTGGATAGTAGTTACGCGGTTATTAATAAATTAAAAGGAATGAGATAAAAACTATGAACATGACATTAGACAAATATCTGGCGGCACACAGATCTACAGGGTCAGAAATTTAATATGGCAGCATCATAGTCATAATCCTTATCATATGTAAAAACTAGGGCATATACAAGATGTGTAATTTCAACTTATTCAAACTGGAAGAGCTACTTTAGAGAGTTCTAATTAATTTCTATTCTTGAGCATCTCTTAAAATTCTTCATGATAAATTTTAATTCTAAAATTTATAAATGTGAATTTGTATAAAGGATTCTTGGATTATTTAAGGATCTTTTAACTGCAGATCATTTTAATCTTTTAACTAGTCTGTCATCATTTGATGTCTATTATCTGCTATCATCAAGAATATTTAAACATAATTTATTCTCTGAAAGCCTCTATTATTATTCATTAATACATATTCAAAAATTATTCTCTTATAATTATATAATCTACTTTTAGATCAATTATTAATGAATAAGGTCACACTTTATATTACTAGTACGTAGAGCATGACCGGCAAACAAGTCCAAAACAACTTATTTATTTTTTAACATGCAAAAGAAATTAATTAATTCTGCACAATGAAATAAAAGTATCTATGAAACATTTCATAAAAACATACAATTAAGGAACCAAACAAAGTGAAATTATTTAACAGGAAGAAGCTAATAAGATAAATGAAAACACAGTTCCCTGTTCATTTTATTTAACTAAATTAACTACTTAAGCTTTTACTTTAATTCCTGATAAAATTAAGGAACAGGATGGATATATGAAACTGCTTTTCCTATTTTAATCAGTATTTTGTTTAGTAATCAGGTGATTTCAGATTTAAGTATTCAAGCAAATTGTTATTGAAAGGGCATCAATTTGCTTCAATATAGTGTATTTTTAATCCTGTCAAATGACTAGATGACAGAATAAAAAATCAGCTTGTTGTTCTGAAGGATCTTCTGAAGAAAGAGAAATTTTTCTAGATGATTTGACCCAGATATGTTGAGACTAATCCTTCATCATCTGGCTGCTCTAGTGTAGGTCTCCCCAAAGCTGTGGATATAAAAAATAAGTCCTCTCAATACTCACAGGTTGAGAAGGGGATAAAGCTATCAACTGTGAACAACTGAAACTGCATTATTAGAAATAAATACACAAAAACAAGTTCAAGTTCTCTTGTTCTCTCATGCTTTACATCTTGTTTTTTTCTCCTGAAAATGAAGCAGTGATGCTTGAAAGCACTCGCCAGTTTATTTTCACATATTTAAACTCCAAATTAAAATTATTTTATCCAGTTTATTAAAATTTTGGTTCTCACCGACAGAGATGATAAATAAATGACAAAGCACCAGCATAGAAAGTTAAATATAATAATACTTAAAAATATAAAGCTAAGTTCTATAATTGGTATAAATTTAAAGTTGTTTAATTTAATTGAAGAATTGTTATATAATTTAAACAATATCAAGAAACCTGGCAACAGTTCTAATACCCAACAAAAGAAATCATAGATATTTTAACAGAGTGAAGCAAAATTATAAGCAGTTTGGGAGCATGAATTCAAACAACAGTTCTGAATTTCTTCATTTATATCAGAAAAATTTTAAAATAAAGAAATTAAACACATCTCTGAATCAAAAACATAATATATTTAGACGACTCTGTGCTTTTTGATAAAATAGTAAATTAAAGCTCTAAATTGTGGACAAAAATGGTTTAAAAAGCATTAAATTTTTAATAAATGGCAGTTTAAGTAGGAGTAAATGGTAGAAAAATAGAAGAACGCAAATAAATTTACCTTATTTTTGAGGAACAGTGTAACATAAGTCAACATAGATGAGAGTTTCTCACAAGTGGAAGTTGCTAATTGTATATAATTACTTAAAGTTAATTAAGATCAGAATAAGATGATAAATTACCTAATGATAACAGACAGGATAGACAGGAAGGAAATTGCTCGGCAGGAGCCAGAGACCGAAATAACAAGACAGAATATTTATACATTTTATTTTTGCAGTTTGCAGACAAGACAAGGAAGAAGAATACAAAGATGACAAAAATTTAAACATATTAAGGATGGAAAATCCGGTAATCGCTATTTTTTCTAGGCCGGCATGGATCACTCCAGGTGCATCCAGAATGTCCTGGAAGATGGAGAGCACTGTCAAATTTAACAATTTTGATAAATAAAAATGGTTGCTGGACTTATCAACTCTTCCTACTAAATAAAGTCATAAACAACTTTCTGTTTAAAGTTTAACAAGGTGTAGAAGTGAGTAACATTCAGTAAATGACCCCCACTGAGATCAACAGCAGTGGAAAGTCATAAAGAACCCAAGGAGGATAAAGCAAGTAAAAAAAAGAGACTTCTTGGAAGTTCAGGCGTGGCTACTGGCCCACACATAACGAGGTCAACGATCTGAACGATATTTATTCTAGAAAATGTAATAGATAATTGTTGTCATTGCTAGTGAGGCATAATTTCATCAGCTTCCCCCTCTTCTCTCCATCAACTTCTATTGAAAATTAGGAATGTGGCACAGGAAATGACGTATCTCGACCGTTAATTTTCGCGTAAAGCGTATATTTTCGTTACGAAGAACTTAACGCATAACAGAGTAGAATTCCCCACTAAGACGGCAATTCTTGCAGTCTTTTTATTCGTTAACAATAGTATAGTATGCATTATAAACCAAGCTAAACACTAGGTAGAGTGCAGGTGGCATAACACAAACAGAAAAAATAAAGATGGCGAGGCGGTAAAGTGGGAGAAAAAGTTACTAGAAAAACCGAAAGGGGAAAAAATGCGAGCAATAGCGCGTGAAATTCAACGTTTCAATAGCAGATTTCCTTTTTGTTTCGATATATTGTTTAACCGATTCCTCCCCCTTTTTTATGTTTCGCTGCAAATTGTTGGAATGGTTGCAGCCCTCCTCCTAAAAAACCGAGTTGAAAATACTCTTCAGTAATTTCGTTAACCATATTCATTTCCTCATTTTCAATATCATGTATTTTTTTTTTTCTTCCTTCCCGTGTAGAGGTTCGGCTCCGTATCCTTTCTTCGAGTTAGAAGATAAAAAAGAAAATACAAAAAAAATCGCCACAGTATTGAGCAAACTTAAAGGTGATTCACCCTGTTCTCACGCTGAAAGACGGGCGACAAAAACGCAATTTTCGCACAATCGGATCGTTTTACACTAGCATATGGCATATTGCTTCTTCTTTTAAATGGCATCATAAATGATTTTTGATACTCATCTAACAGGAATAACATACAGTTTTCGGCACTTGTGACACGCGGGAGGGCCAAAAACGAGCTGGATTTGTCCCCTACAACACGCGAAAATTCTAATAATCAAATCATCAGCATCATCTTTTCTTCTTAAATGGAGTCTTTTGTTACTCATCTAATGGGAATAACTGAAATTCCTGGCGAAGGGGGAGGCAAAACGAATCCCTAAGTCGCTCCTCCTTAAACAGCCGAAACTTCTAATTATCGAATTAACATCATCATCATCTGTATGTGAGTCAATCGCTTTCACTTAACGGATGACTAACCGTGGAATTTTTAAAATTTTTTTTTCCTTCCAATCGAACTTCGTCCTTTTTGTAAGTGGAAATTGCATAAAGAGAAATCAAGGTCGACACTTTGTGACTAACCTCCCTTTACGTGTGAGACGAGTCATAGGTAGGGAGATAATTATCGACCCTCGCAAAGTGTTCCGAGCTTCTATATTAAGTTGTCACGTCGGAATGCCGACTTTCCTCAATACCTAAGTGCTATTATGACGTAACAGCTGTAGAATAACGCGCAGACAATAGGATAATTACTAAGCTTTGTTATGCTATAATTCGAATTTTAAAATACTTCCCCCTTTACTCGTAAAATCGGAACGTTTACGGCTTTGTTTTTCTCGAAAAATAACTAAATTTTAAGTCTAATTACAGATAACAGCGGGTTAGCTTTGTTTATACTTGTTAACCGCAGCTGTCACGCTGTACAGTACAATCAAACGTTACAATACAACAGTAATCGTACAGTTGTAGCGCGTTAATCTCTTGTAATATTAACGAGTAGTGTTCCCTCTAACACAGCTGATGACGTAAAACACAAGGCAGAACATGTTCATCTGTCAAATTCTGGTGTTTAACTCAGTGTTAGAGCCCGTGCTACGTACAATTTATGACACAGATACGCGCTTTTCACAGATAAACTATCACTCAACCGACCACACAAGAATGACATTAAATAACGTGTAGTTTAGTATTGTAATTTAAAAAACTTACCTCCATTTTTTCCGATTTAAAGACACTTAACGTAAATCAAGTATAGTATAATCTATCGCAGTGTTTCATGCTGCAGCCTCAACAGAACGTTTGACGTCCTACACGACATACTTTACGAACAACGATCAACCGACCGACACTACAAACAACTGTTGCACGCGATGACTCACACAGTCACGTGGCAATCGGTGAGCCTGGCAAATACCGCGCTGCCATCTTTCGATCGTTCTCTTCGCTAGTGTGACGTCGGCTCTGTGTCCTAAATACGAGCGATGCGTGAATATTTTCGTGTTTATTAGAAAAAATTATGGGAATTACATTTAAGTCTTCTCTTGCATGGTTGAATGAAATAAATATGAAATGACATGTTTTTTGGCTGTATGAATTATCACGCGTGCAGTACTTCACTGCTTATTCGTTACGCTCAACCGTGTATAAATATGCTCTTGTGTATAAAAATTATCATAGCGGTAAAGATGGCAGCGAACGTAACTACTTTGTAACATTGCGTGAATACAGTGTCGGCGCGTAATTAATTAATGAAATGGCGATTTGAATCGAATTATTACATTTAAACATACAGTATATTTAGAAATGCAATATTTTTAGTGTAATTATAGTTATAATATAGAAATATTTAAAGGTTTAATTTGTAAAGAATATTATTATTATTTATTATAATCATAGATGGCAGCACATTTCGTTGTAACGCTAAGTAACTCGCTAAGAATGCGAATAATGAAAACGCCCAATTTCCCTAAAATTTATTTATCAGTAAATAAAACACTTATTATCTTTAAAATAAGTTTTAAAACACAAAGAATAAATATATATTATATATTGAGTAAATAACTGTATACCCAAATTAATAATAAAGGATTTATTTCAATGCAACCAAACGCTCTGAGATGGTCGTAAGTTCGTCTGCTTCAAAATGGCGCCGCTTTAAAGTCTAAAACTGAATGTTCTCGCTGCAATTACACTCATGTAAGTGAAAATTATTTATATATTTCATTTAATCTCATATAATTGTGTGTAAAATGCATTGCATACCTATTACATGAGTAATTTATGCACATTTATATAAAATACAGGATGATCCACGGAAAAGTAGCCCGCATGCGACGATACTGCAATATGAAGAGCTAGCAAGTTGATAATTTTTCTAAAGTATTCATGTTACAACACATTACAAGAGATTACAACATAAATGTAAATGAAATGTCATTTTAATAATGTAATCTAACTATCAATATATAAAGCTGAAAAACCTGATTATTTCTTTCTGTCACTGCATGCCAAAAATGGCCACTAGGGGCGCCCCTCGTTATTATTTAAATTAACAATAAATTTAGTATATTATTTGATGTGGTCTTTTGCATTTTTGGCTGCGTTTTAGTAGGGTACGCAATGAGAAATTTAGTATACGATATTATTATTTTTATTTGTAATAAGAATTTATTATTTATTCCACGGAATGACATTGATGTTGCTAGAACGCCCTCTAGGGAGCGTTCCGGGCTAGGACCTTGAGAATTATAAGTACGAAATAATCCCCGTCCCTCACCACCCGGCACTCCCATTGTGGGCCTAGCCGAACCCATAATGAGCTTGCAAAAAAAGGCCCTCTTAGTGCCCACAGGGTGGAAGAAGTAAAAAAAAAGTATGAAATAATCTAATATTAGAGAGGCTGCGGCGCAAGTTCAAACGCTACTTGTACTCGGCAAGCAGAAATACACGGTTTACGTTTTAACTCCAAGAAAAAATCGTTGCGGCGGACGTTCACAATATAACGTGAGTCAGTGAACGTCGCGCATTGACTCACCAACGTCGCCATTTGACAACGAATTTCCCGTGAGCCGCAACGATTTTTTCTTGGAGTTAAAACGTAAACCGTGTACTTCTGCTTGCCGTGTACAAGTAACGTTTGAACTTGTGCGGCAACCTCTCTAATCTTAATCTTTGTTGTTGTTTTTTTCCGGGCAACGCCGGGCTCATGTATTTTAATAATTTTGATATCATTTTATCTGACTATTGTAATATAAATTATGTACAGTGCCAGCCCGAGGCAAGTTTTAGAATGGAGCGCGATCCTATTATGGCGCCCTCCTTGGTTGTCCCTAATTTATACCCTTTAATTTTCTTTACCACTGAGGCGCCCCCTAGGACTTAGCGCGTGGAGCGGCTGCTCTGTTCGCCCTATGGTAGGGCCGGCTCTGATTATGTACAGTACTGTACAACGTATAAATGTAACACACACACAATTCACTATTAGTATAGTCTGATAATGAATCTGACTTTATCATTTGCTTATTAATAAGTTATAACATATTATTACATTTAATGCCATCCTTTCGGGAGTTGGTATGACGACAAAATTAAAGTAATATATATTGGTAAATTAATAAATTATATTATTTGAGCTACTTATGATGATAATTTTGTAAAGGCCGTTTCACAATCTGTATGGTGAAATTAGCCGAAATTTTATTATGTTATAGTTCTTGACTACCTGGTAAAGAGTCTCAACGTGCACGAAACTTGACAATGGTTAGTTTGTACTGCTAGAGCAGTTCGAATATATAGGAAGTGTAACAACCTATACTTCCCATATAGTCTCTCTCGGAACAATTAATTGAAATAGTAATAGGGGAATCACTGTTTGTGAAAAAATATGCACTATTATCTTTTAATCCATTCCCAGATATCAACTAGGATCCCGAAACAGGCCTTCAGATATAACAAGTAAACATTTCACTACACAACATACAAGTGTAGCAGACTTTGTAACAAGGTATATACTGTACACCTCCCATGTCAATATGAAACGGCTCTAGCAAATAAACTAGCCATTTTCAAACTTTATGCCATTGTGACAATTCATCAATTAGACAAGAACCGAGCAACGTACTAAAATTTCAGACAATTTCACCGTGGCCCACAAGGGTTCTGCTTAGTTGGCGAATGTCATCTTTTCTACGGCTAAACTGTATTGTTCTTTAAGTAAAAAACACGAAGTACACTTGAACATTTCTTTAAAGTTAAACCGAAATTCTGTTACGCTGAAAATTTACGCTGATAAATATAATTTAATAAATGCTCTCATCCGGTTAGAAATATGACTAATGATATTGGTTTATCTACTCTCAAGTTAAATATATAATTGAATATTAGTCATACTCTAAAAATTAGTTGTAAAGTATAAGTAAACATGTTTCAATAAGCAAATATTTTGGATAGCGTAATATTGTTCTTTTGTGATGTTTATACTTAATTTATGCTGTTAAGTTGAAAATGTATAAACAATTGTTCTATTATAGAGACTTTAATATTATAGAGTAATAGAATAAATGATATATATGTACGGTATGTATGAGTGCAGAAATCAGAGTTTTCACTCTATGTTCATTTTTTGAAGAAGGTAATGAACAATTTACCATATTACTCGTAACAATGCTTTGCATGTTAGAAATTACAATAAAAGCAAACTTTTCAACTTGACTGAAGTGCCGAACGTAACAAAAGAATCATATGATACAATTGTTAGTTTCATATATGATTTGCATAACCAGGGAGGGGGCTGGAACCCCTTCGTAATGAAAAAGTTAATAAAAACATGCAATTATTTATTGTAATATCGTCACAATGCCTGGGTGCAATTTATTTAATTTAAAATATCAGTGGCGTGCCATCCTTGGAAGTGGTGGAAGCGCCGCTTCCCTTGTATTTTTTAAAATATGAAAATAATCGCACAATATGAACTGTATTTATATTTGAACGTATCTTATTACAAATTTCTATACTACATGTGAAAAAAAACGATAAGATTGCTATTGTATATTCGAATATAAATTCGTATATGGATATTCCCAATGAAAGCGCCGTATTGTCGAATACGGGATAGCTTCCACGACGAAGATATTTAAATGGTGTAAAACAGCCAGATTATAGACATTCGCGCATGCGCTTTACAGAATACCAACCTCACGGTGTAAGCTACACATACAACGCTTCCAATGATTCTATCTAGGACCGGCTCTGGGCTGTTAGCCGCCTGCCTGCTAGATATCTGGCTGCCCTCGCCCCATTACGTGAACCGCGAGTAGATTTATAACTTAACCAGTGGCGTGCCGTCTTTGAAAGCGGTGGAAGCGCCGCTTCGCTTGTATAGTATTTTTTAAAATATAAATACACATTATGCGATTATTTTCATATTTTAACGTACTTTAAATGAATTAAAATTAATATTTTATTATAACCGCATTATGTATCTTTTTACAAATTTCTATAGGGGAGATCGGGGCAACTTCGGCATACGGGGCAAGTTTGTCAAGCGCTTTTTTTAAAAAACAAATTAAAAGGAGACTTTGGTTATAGGTTAGGCAGTTGAGTTTTATTGGTGGCTTGTTGAGTGTAGTGTTTTTATTGTTCTCCAACAAGCGTAGTTGAATTATCAAGCAAATTTTCATTTTCGTTCAATTCCATATAATATTTTTTTTCCATTTATATTGAATTGGCAGGTTTTGTTATAATTCCATGATAACGAAAGTTACTTTTCCTGTTAGAAGGATGTAACTTCAACTTATTCACGTGGTCAGATCGTGGCTTGGCATTCTGTTCTCAGGGTTGTACTTAATGTTTCGAAATCATGACTAGCGGGGTAAGATCGGCAACATAAAGCCACATTAGAAGCAAAGGATAAAAATCAAACAGATGATAAATGAAAACATGTTTGCATTTGTTAATCATGTATATATGTCTTTCAACTTGCATTTCGTTGTAATAAGATTAAATGGGTGTTGGATTTGTATTTCTTTGTTTTAATAGTGAATTCCAACTTATACATTGTTAATAACATAATTTTATATACGTGCCTATCTTGCCCCATTACTGTTGCCCCTATACCAGGGGCAACTTTAATAAAAATAATTAAAATAATTACAACTTTACAAAAAGAGAGAAGTTGCCGATCTTGCC